TTATGTTGTGAAATCGTTTTTTTTTAGTTAATAAATTAATAATTTTAAATATTTATTTTGAAACAAATTTATGTTGGTCCAACAAACCAAAGAGTTAATGTCAAAACGTTTTTATGTAAATAGTTATTACCGTTACCAATACAGGCAATTAATGTCCACTGCTGAACAGTAGATCTCCCCCATAGGTTGCCTTATAAGGGGGATATTAGCCATAGTTGCCACGCTTTACAAGCGGGTTAGCAGCCGCAGTTTTTTTTATTTTCAATCGTCATTAGGAACACGCTGCTGCCCATCTGCTGATTTGTTACCCTCTGTCGCTTCTTACGACACCCATGAGAGGGTATGGGATAGTGGATATTCTTACACCGCCATTACACGGTAAACTAATAATGTTATTGATCAACTATAAACCTCAGCCTAAAGAATATATTCTACAGCTGTAGATATATTTCGCCAATTACTTACTACAATGCCGTTATTAGAAATAAAATGGCGGTATGACCATGTTTTCTTTACTTATTAGAAACTAGTACAGGTCTAATCCCCTCATTATGAAAATGTTATAAGCAAAATAGTGACGTAGCAAAGTAGGGAGGCAGGCTGGTCATGGCCCCAAGTGGTAGATTTAGGTGGCGGCAATATAATTATATAATAATAACAAAATGAATGAAAATACAAAATTTTAAGAAGAGGTATACGTACAATATAAGATGTATTATATTTCTAACAATACCATAAAACTGCATTTTGTTGGAATGATATCTTCATTGGTCCATTAAAATTCTCACAAAACGCTCAACGACATACTTAATCGCGGCTATAAAGACGTTAAGAACACGGAAAGGGTCCGGAGATTGTCTGTTATAACAAAATATAAACAGGGTTCAAAGTAAACAGCGGAAGTTAATGATCCGTGTTGTTTGGACTATATCAACGATCATAGTTTGTGTTTGGAAAATTATTAGCCATCATTAGAGCCTAACAGATGTGGAGTGACGACCTTGTGAGACATGAAGAAATTCGATGGATGCAGGTGACTCAGGATCGTGCTTTGTGACGTTCTTTGGAGAAGGCCTATGTTCAGCAGTAGACTTGTGCAGAGCTGTAAACAATCTATACATCTATACATTCTATATTATATACATTCTATATAGGCTAAGAAGGGCTAAAACCCAAAGCCTTAAAACCAGTTTAAAAAAAATACATTCTATACAAATAAATAAAATTGATGTGTCTGTTTGTAATATCAAAATAACAGCTTTTTACTAAATGCATATGTAAATACATACAGTACTTTTATCAAAAAAAACTATTTTTTAAATTTTGTCTATCTGTTTGTTTGTTCCGGGTAATCTCCAAAACGGCTAAACGCATTTTAACGGGATTTTCACTAGCAGATAGCTGATTTTACAACTTAGGCTACTTTTATTTTCCAAAAAGAATTAGGGTTACGCGCAAAAAATTAAAACTCATGAAATACAATCGTAATAAACACCACGCGGTCCGCTGTTGCAGTCTTACGTCAGAGTTTGCAACAAATCACGCTCCTAAGCTACTTGCTAGTCATCCATCAACTTTCTGGATGCTTCACCAGGTCATCATTACATCACTCGACACTTCTCTTACTGAGAGAGCTGCCGTAGCCTTATTTTACCTTCAGAAATTTATTGTCCTAACAAAGTAACTATATAAATTTATGATTCTATATTTCTTCGGATTAAATTGTATTACTATGTCTGACTAGAGCCGTGGTAGCTCAGATGGTTAGCGCTCGCTGTAAGTTTCACAGTACGCGAGCAACCCGAGTGCTCGGCGGTGAAAGAAAACATCGCGAGGAAACCTGCATGTCTGAGAAATATAAAATGAAAAATATTTCGAAGACATGTGAAGTTTGCCAACACGCATTGGTGCAGCGCGGCGGATATTTCCTTGCCCTAAAACCCTCTCAGAAGTGAGAGGAGGCCTGTCCCCAGCAGTGGGACGTATATAGGCTGTACCTTTTAACTTTTAACTATGTCTGACTGCTTATGCTCTGACTCTTGTTAACATTGTAGTGATTGTAAATATGTTAAAAGCTATAATTATAATGTCCTTGGCTTGGTTGTACATGATAAATGTCTTCAACGATATATACGTAAGGTGAATTACACGTAAATAAAACGCGCTCACTCAATTTCACCTTAATGTATTTTAAATTGACCGTGTAGCGGCGGTGTAGGAATATCCACTATCTAGGTGGGTGTCGTAAAAAGTGACAGAGAAAAATAAAACAAACCAGGAGACGGGTAGCACCGTCTTTCTAAGAACAACGAAGAATTAAAAATACATATGAGGGCCTATGTTCACCAGTGTACTTTTGATGTGCTGTATACGATAACGGTAATTTAAATGAGTGTATGAGGTCGTAGGAAAACTAACTTGCAGTGCTCAGCCGTCATCGTCATTACAGCCCCTCACAAGTCAACTGCCGAACGCAGGTCTACCCAAGCAAGTCCACATGGTCCTGAGCCACCTGCATTCATCGACTTACCGCATGTTTAATCAGGTCGTTACTATGTAGCAGAAGTTCTACCCTCCACTTACTGGTGAATCTTTTTTCTTTATCGGTTGTCGATTGTTTGGGCTGTATGAACAACTTATTATCACCTTAGCTTTTATATGCTATGTTACTCGGGTAGAACCAAACATTATCTTTAGTATCGTATAAGATTACGTGGCGATTACGATAAATTATTCCTTCTCTGGTAGAGGCTGGTATGCAACAGCGCTTTGCTTACAGGCTAATGACGAAGAAGATAGTAATAGGGTTCGACCGGTATTTAAGACCCTTGACTTGTCGACGTATACGTATGTGCGCAGTCCGTGAAGCTGCTTACGCTATGGTATGACTTGAAAATAATGCATCCAAAACATTTTATTTAGTAGTCACGTTTGACAGCTGATCTGACTTCACTTTATCTTGAAAGCTTCTCCCTTTCTCTTTTTAATTATAGCTCGCCTTTTCATTTTAATTGTAGCTCGTAAACAAACAGACCCACTGAGAGTAGTCTTAAAATCTTGGCGGCTTTAAACCTTTTTTATTGACAGAGCTCCATTGCAACGAGCAGATTCCCTCCAGATTCTCACAAATAAAGAATTTTCCAAAGAAAAAGAATTCAAATAATAAGTGTATTTTTTTTTTAAATTTGTCAGTATTTTTTAAATTTGTCTGCCTTTACGGTGACATAGCCGATGTCACAGCAACGAGTACCTTAGTCATTTTAGCAAGCCCCTTGTAGCTGTGCAAGGATATCGGCTCATCAACTAAACGTGGCTAGTTCTAAGTACAGTCATTACTTCTAAGTAATGCCCAGGTATTAATTTAAAAGCACTGGCACTATTTTACACAAGCAAGAAATCGCATTAAAATAAGTGCATAATCGATTAAATTCTGCCGTTTTCATAGCGGTATCTTAAGGAGGTCTGCAGAAACCAGCACACTAAAATAAACTAATGAAAATATGTATTATTTTGTTATTTAAATACATCAATGTCGCACAGTAAAATTTTAATTACTTGAATAATTATATATTATTCAAAGTAAATACTTAATATTTTCTGAATTGTAAAGAAAGCAAAGTGAACTTTGATAGGTAATGTTAAATTACAATATAAAATATTGTATTTAGTATAAGTATAAGTATATTAATCATTTCATTTATCGGCTCTACTACGTGATAGAGCCATGCTGTAGCTATATTTTATTGGGGTGAACCACGGTAGGACCACGCTCTCACAGAAAAGCACCGTTTCCGTATGGGGAGTGGCGATAACTGGAGACGTGTTTTACTGGACACAAGACATTCCATCATAATTTTCAGGAGTGACAACGAGTCTGAATTTTGATTTTTAATTCTCTTAACTACTCGTATTATTTATTCTCTGTTATTAATCGACGAGGATGTAGATTTTTAATGGTCATATCATACACTTACCGTCAGGTGAATTGTGGGCTCGTTTAGTTTTTTTTATAGGATTTATATATGTACACATTATATTATTCTTATTTTATAAAAAAATACGTTTATTTTGCAGTTAAATCCAATGGAATCAAACTGGAATAGTTTTGAACTGTCACGTGGAAAACATGGATCTCTGCAGCCCGCTTTTTTATATGGCCCAATAAAACAGCAATGCAGAGTTAATCGTTCGTGCAACATCGATAAACGAATCGATTTAAGTTGGCTCTGCGAGAGGTGACTCAGCGGGAGAGGGAAAGTTTAAATTAACTGAGAAATTTTATACCGACTTTTAGCGGTTTCTAGAGTCAAACCCTCCTTGCACCTCCTACCTACAAGAATTATTGAGATAATTATTATTTGAATGGAGATTTATTATTTGGAGAATTCGATCTACTACTAGCTGTACCCGCGACTTCGTAGGTTACGCATAGTTTTTAGTAATTTTTTACAATACTTCCCTATTTGATGTGGAATTTGTTCACAATTTCATGGGTTTTCCTTTTATAAAATTAAAGTTACTCATTATAACGACAGCTATCTGCTAGTTAAAGCAGAAATCGGTTCAGCCGTTTTGGAGATTAGCCGGAACAAACAGACAGACAGACAAAAATTTTAAAAATTGTTTTTTTTGTTTGTTATAATAACCGTATATACATTCATATACATTTGTGGCAGCACGGCCGTAGCTGTTGACCGTTCGGCAATCGTCGGGAGCCCTCGGCTGCGCTGGAGCAGCCGGTTCGTTTTTCGCCGCCTCGCCAGTCGATGTGACCGTCCGACGCCGTGAGGCCGCTCGTCCGCGCTCCGATCCACGACTTTAAACTTCGTAGAAATAAACGGTTATTTAATATATGTGGTGTGTTGATTATTCGCATCCCCACATATAATTGGTGACCCCGAGTTCTCAAAAAAAAAAAAAAAAAAAAACTGTATAGTCGTGCAGTGTGTGTGAACTGTGTGTTTATTTTTGTCGGTTTAAATAAATTGACCGTTGTAATGATGTCAAAGAGTGGAAATACGACAAGTGACGAACAAGAAGTGTGTCGAGTGGCCATTAAGGTACCTCCATTTTGGCCGGACGAGCCCGCGCTTTGGTTTGTACAGTTAGAAGGACAATTTGTGCTTTCAAATATATCGCAGGACAATACAAAGTTTTACCATGTAATTGCTAATCTGGACTATAAATACATATCGGAGGTTAAAGACATTATAACTAATCCACCAGTTGAGAATAAATACGAAAAGTTAAAAAAGGAGCTTATATCGAGGTTATCGGCTTCTCAAGAGCAAAGAGTTCGGCAGCTTGTGGCACACGAGGAATTAGGAGACCGCAAACCTTCGCAGTTTCTACGGCATTTGCGCAATTTGGCTGGAACCGATGTCCCAGACGAATTTATCCGATCTTTATGGACGAGTCGCTTACCAAGTCATATTCAAGCTATCATAGCTACGCAGACAGATGTAAACTTGGATAATGTAGCTTTATTGGCGGATAAGATCAACGAAGTCACTCTCCAACCTCAGGTGCACCACATAGCCACACTGCCACATCACACCGCCACTTCAGCCACACCGTCAACTTCGTCCGAATTTGAAGAATTGAAGCGCCGCTTAGATGACTTATCTCGTCAGGTGGCCTCTCTGACAATGTCACGTTCTCGCCCTCGTTCCCGATCACGTGGTCATCATCCCAATGGTCAACGCCGCTCACGAAGCCGCTCTGCTACTGGCACATGGAAGTGCTGGTACCATTGGAGGTTTGGTAGCTCTGCAACTAAGTGTCGCTCCCCTTGCTCGTTTTCACAGGGAAACGACAAGGGCAGTCCATAATGGCGGCCGATGACTGCCGTTCACCAGGCCGCTTATTCGTGACAGACATTAAAACAAAAGTACAATACTTAGTGGACACTGGTTCAGACTTAAGTGTATTTCCGTTGTGTAAATTACGCAGTAAGAGACTACATAAAACAAACTATGAGCTTTTCGCAGCTAATGGCTCAGCAATCGCTACGTATGGTTGGGTTAATTTAACTTTAGATTTAGGCTTACGCCGCGCTTTTAGTTGGAGATTTGTGATAGCTGACGTCACAAAACCAATTATCGGCATAGACTTTCTTTCATTTTTTAATTTGCTCGTAGACGCTAGACACCATCGTTTAGTAGACAATACCACCTCTCTTATTGCTAAGGCTTATTCTGCTTCATCATTTGCTTTGTGCCAAATTAAAGTGTTTACAGGTACTTCACGCTATCATAGCCTGCTGTCACAGTACCCTGAAATCACGCGGCCGTCTGGAGATCCTGCTGTACGGGAAGTGAAGCACCACACCGTCCATTTCATCCACACTACGCCTGGACCACCTGTCTTCTGCCGTCCACGACGCCTAGCACCGGATCGGCTCCGCATTGCCAAGCAGGAGTTCGAGGACATGGTAAGAATGGGTATTGCCCGGCGCTCCGACAGTGCATGGTCCTCACCGTTACACTTAGTACCAAAAAAAGATAACACGTTTCGTCCATGTGGCGATTACCGTGCGCTCAATGCCCGAACAATCCCCGACCGATATCCGGTTCGCCATATAGGTGATTTTACACACAATCTTTTTGGCTGCCAAGTGTTCAGTAAAATCGACCTGGTGCGAGCGTATAATCAAATTCCAATCGCACCAGAAGATGTATGTAAAACGGCAATTGCTACACCTTTCGGCTTGTTTGAGTTTCCTTTTATGGGGTACGGGTTAAGGAACTCAGCGCAAACTTTTCAACGATTCATGGACGAAATCCTTAGGGACATAGACTTCGCTTTTCCCTACTTAGATGACATCCTGATTGCGTCAAAAGATGAAGCTAATCACGAGCGTCATTTGTGTACAGTCTTCGAGCGCCTTCGAGAGCATGGTGTTGTCATAAATACTGCTAAAAGCATCTTCGGAGTACCAGAGGTGGAATTTTTAGGCTTCATGGTCTCAGCTGAAGGTACGAGGCCCACAAAAGAAAAGGTCAGTGCTATTTTAAATTTTCCATTACCTAAAAATGTACGAGAGCTCAGAAGATATCTTGGTATGTTAAATTTTTATCGCCGATTCATACCAAACGCTGCTCAAGTACAGACGCCGCTGCATCTTCTATTAAAAGGAGAAAATGTAAAGCCATCTACGCTCATTACCTGGAATCCAAAACTCGAACAATGTTTCGCAGAAAGTAAGTCAAGTTTGGCAAATGCCAGTTTACTAGCTCATCCCGATCCGACAGCAGAATTGGCGATTGTTACGGACGCATCAGATACTGCTGTAGGAGCAGTTCTACAACAGAAGAATGACTCAGACTGGATACCGTTAGCATTTTTCTCCAAAAAGCTTAACACAGCTCAAAGGAAGTATAGCCCATATGATAGAGAGCTGCTAGCTATGTATGAGGCAATAAAATATTTTAAATTTATGATAGAAGCTCGATCGTTTACATTATTCACTGACCATAAACCACTTATATCAGCATTTAATAAAAATTCACAGAATTTATCACCACGACAATTTCGATACCTTGATTACATATCACAATTTACTACAGATATCAGGTATATTAAAGGTGACGATAACATTGTTGCGGATACACTTTCTCGGATAGACGCTATCTCAAACGTAATAGACTTACAAAAACTTAAAATTTCACAAGAAAAGGATAATGACCTCGTTAAACTTATAGAAGGCAATTCTTCACTGAAGCTGCAGAAAGTTGCCATTTCTGACTTCGGGAAGAAACTGTACTGCGACATATCCGGTACGTCTCCTCGTTTATATTTGCCGTTAGAATTTCGTCGTGAAGCATTTGATTCGATACATGGGTTAAGCCACCCAGGAGCGAAAGCTACAATCAAGTTGGTAGCACAACGATACGTGTGGCCCAGTATGAAAAAAGACTGTAGAGAATGGGCACGTGCATGTATAGACTGTCAGCGCTCTAAAGTCTTTCGACACACTAGATCGCCAGTACAACCTTTCTCGCCACCGTCCAATAGATTTTCGCACGTGCACATCGATTTAATTGGACCATTACCTGTTTCGCACGGTTATAAATATTGCTTAACGTGCGTAGACAGGTTCACACGTTGGCCCGAGGTAGTTCCTTTGGAGGATATAAAAGCCGAAACTGTGGCTAATGCCTTTACTCGTGGCTGGATCTCGCGTTTCGGATGTCCTCATAAAATAACCACGGATAGAGGAAAACAATTTGAGTCGCACATATTTAAAGAGCTATCTAAACTCACAGGTTCTCTCCACATCTCTACCACCGCTTATCATCCAGCAGCTAACGGCCTCGTAGAGCGCTTTCACCGACAACTGAAAGGTGCCATCATGTGCCATGCAAATAAGGACTGGTATGAAGTTCTTCCGCTAGTTCTTCTAGGAATACGCTGCGCCTGGAAAGAGGATATAGCAGCATCGGCTGCTGAGTTGGTGTACGGTGAGACGTTACGTTTACCTAGTGATTTCTTTATATCGAGCCTAAAACAAGTCACTGACTACACAGATTTCGTATCCAGGTTACGCTCACATATAAGAGAGTTAAAACCCTCAATAGTCGTTCGACATGGAACCCCAAATGCATTTATTCATAAAGATTTGCATAAGGCGTCGCACGTGTTTCTAAGGCAAGATGCTATCAAGAAAGCGTTGCAACCTCCTTATTCCGGTCCATTTAAGGTCATAGAACGCGATAAAAAAACTTTTAAAATTAACGTAAATGGTAAAATTATTACGGTGTCTGTTGACAGATTGAAACCAGCCTATACTCTCAACGATTCTACGGAGCCCTCCGAAGAACTACATAAAGAACCCAGCTCGGCCTACACCACAAAATCTGGCCGAAAAGTGAAGTTTACGGACTTCTACCGACCGTAAAGATCTCCGGGGGGGGCTGATGTGGCAGCACGGCCGTAGCTGTTGACCGTTCGGCAATCGTCGGGAGCCCTCGGCTGCGCTGGAGCAGCCGGTTCGTTTTTCGCCGCCTCGCCAGTCGATGTGACCGTCCGACGCCGTGAGGCCGCTCGTCCGCGCTCCGATCCACGACTTTAAACTTCGTAGAAATAAACGGTTATTTAATATATGTGGTGTGTTGATTATTCGCATCCCCACACATTCAGTAATAACCAATTATTTTGATATTACAAACAGACATTTCAATTTTATTTATTTGTATATATACAATATGTAACGACAACCCTGTGGTTCCCGTTAACTACGTTATCAGGATCAGTATTCAAACGTATAGAAATAACTTTTTTAAAACTCGAACATATATATATTTACCTACCTTAAAAATAATTTAGCCGTGTTATGGGGCGTATCACCAGACAGACAGATGGCGATATAACCGTCTCGTTAACGCCAGGCGTAAAATAAACTGCCCGCCACCAGCCAGCACCGTCAAAAGTGACAGCGGTCTGGTACTACAATAGTCAATCCACCTGCCAAGCGTGAAGATTAAGGCAAGTCCTCTCTTCAATAGGAGATATTCAATTCCAGCAGTAGACTTTTATGGGCTGATGAAATATATGAAATATAAATGAAATGGCGGCCTCTCATCTCCGGGGTACTTCGTTTAGAACCGGGGCGGCATCAGAGGAAGCTGAACTGAGTAAGTGGCGCAAGTATCTGAGTCTAATCAGTATAATGAGTCTCTGAGAGATGACTACATATTTGTGCCATTTGCTGTAGAGACTATCGGTCCGTGGGATCCACGTACGGTGAGGTTCGTAAAGGAACTCCATTCGCGGCTGGTCGTTGCTGCTGGTGATAAGAAGGCTGGTTCTTTTCTCGCTCAAAGCCAGAAACGCAGCCAGCGTTCTTAGCACGATAGCGCGGGGAGTAGAACTGTGTGATAATTAATTTACTAGTTTTAGTTTTTTTTATAGGATCGGGTGACAAACGAGCACACAGTCCACCTGATGGTAAGTGGTTACTGTAACCCATAGACATCAACATCTATCCTCAATAAAGACTCAAGATGCAGATGCGTTGTCACCCGTGAGGACTAAGATGGAATGCCTCTTTGCCAGTAAAAAGGGTCTCCGGTTCTCTACACTCACCATACGAAACACAGCAGCGTTAAGCTGCTATTTTACGCTGGTTTTCTGTGAGAGCGTGGTCCTTCCCCGGTCGAGCCGACCCATTCGTGCTACAACCATAATATAGCTGCAGCATGGCTCTACCACGTAGAAAACACGTGCGGTGAGGTTCGTAAAGGAACTCCATCCGCGGCTGGTCGTTGCTGCTGGTGATAAGAAGGCTGGTTCTTTTCTCGCTCAAAGGCTAAGTATAGCCATTCAGCGAGGAAACGCAGCCAGCGTTCTTGGCACGATGCCGCCGGGAGTAGAACTGTTTGATATTTAATTTACTAGTTTTAGTTTTTTTTTTATTATGGTTTTTAATATTGTATATAATAAAATGAAATGAAATATAAATAGTATTAATTATTACTAATTTCATCATCATCATTCCCTCATATATTATTTATAGGAGGGATGTTTGCTAATATAGTTGCCACACATATTTGGCGGGTTGGCAACTGCAGTTTTTCATTATTATTATATTGTTATCAGGAAGATACTGTGGTCCGTCACTTGTTTTAGTTTCCCTCTGTCGCTTCTTACAACACCCACTGCATAAATTGGGATAGTGATTGTCTTATCTATGCAGTAGATATTACATTAAAATTTACAAAAACAGAACTTATATTGATTTAAACTTTTACTTAGGACAAATACACTATCTAACACGTTCTCCATAAATAAATTTTTGGTTAGTTAGGTTAGTTAGAGCGGATATTGGCAAGGTAAATTTTTCCAACTTTAATATAATACATTTCCGCAAAGTAACGCCTGATTCTATTAATTAGAGTATTATTTCTCTTTCAGACAACTCATTTCAACAACTACAGTAAAGATAATGCGGGATTTTGTGGGAGAGGGAGCATAAAACATTAGCCGATCACCAAAATTGAATGCGAGAAATTCAGAATGTTCGTTTTGGACTTTAAACGGAATGCTGAGGTTGTAATGGAAGCCTCACGAGCATACTCCAAACGACCGGACGCGCCGGTCTCTTTAGCAGCCGGAACACGATGCATATAAAGAGACAAGGTCGGTTTTAACAGGCGCGAAATTTTCGTCGAATTTAGTATTGTTCTTTGCTTATATTTCAATATATAATTTGAAATATCATACCTTTTTTTTAGAGGTAACAAAAGGAGTTGATCATTTAAATCTGGGTGACATCAAACCGACATCAATTGATGTTGAGATGCCTTATCACGTTACTTGTACATATTTTACAAATTGAAATAGTTCAAATTATAATACTGAATTGAAATTTCGTCTTGGCTGTTAACATGATCTGGAAACCCGACCTGAATTGAGTGTTTATATTCTAAGAAATTTGGAAATCTATTGGAATGGATCGCGAGTCCTGTTCGTTCAGAGACTAAGCGCTCGTCGTAAATGTTACAGAACTCAATCAACCGGTTTCGGCCTCCCCGGCTGCAATGAAATTGATAATTGAAATTTTTGCTGATTTACCGTGTACTCGGCGGTTAAGGAAAACCACGTGAGGCATGTACAGTTCCCCAACAAGCATTGGATCCGCCATGCTGAACTGTGTGGTGGACTTTTCCTTGCTTTGAAACCCTTTCAGAAATGAGCGGAGGCTGGAGCCGGTCTATGGGACGGATATAAGCTGTAACTTTAGACATTATAGCAATTGTGGAATTCCTAATAAGAGGTCTTCCACATCTATGCTTTCATAATGTCCTTTACAATGGAATTTGGTCACGGTGGCCCGTCTTAACGAAGACTAGCCATCTGCGCAAGATATGATAAGGTAAACGTAAACGCACTCAATGAATGCATCCACGACTTTTTCTGCCAACAGGGCGGCACCACTAGAAAGTGAGGTATAATATTTGACAGATTTCACAGCTTGGAAGTTAATTTGTTCGGAAAATGTAAAGGTTATTGTTTCTTTCTACTTATTGTTTCTTACTACAAGTATTGGCAATATTTTATATTAATAAGATTAAAAATAAATAAACCAAACCACAGATATTCATAAAAGTAGAAAAATTAAAAAAAAATGTTAAAAGTATGCAAAAAGTTAAAGAAGAAACCACTGACGCATTGTTTTAAGTATCAATATAATACTCTAGAAACTGACAAAGTTTTAAACTAACTTCTCAATCAAATGACATTGTGTAACAAAAAACTTTACCTCACTGTCAACTAGAGTGAGTCAACTATCTAGTGAGCAGAAAATTATTAGCCCTCATTCCCTCACTCTCATAGTCCGATGGGATGGTAAGCCGACACGACCGGAGAAAGCCCAGGCACAGGACCAACGGCTTTACGTGCAGTCCAAGGCACGGGTCTGAAACACCGCCAGCTTACTAACTCCGGGTTGCATGAAAGAAAAGAGATGATTTTTTGACAGAAAAGTCAATAATTGGTTTTTCCCCGACAAGGGATTCGACACCAGGACTTTATTATCAGCATCAGTCAGATCACGTTTACGACCACACCAACGACGCTGTGTACAGCGATATTTTCAATAGTAATAAGAATAACAAACGAAAACATTTGTATGTTGTTTGCTACGAAACCATCATCGGCCACATATTTCAGTATGAGTTACAAGGCTCGAATATGCGCCAAAACTGTATGCATCGATTCGGGACACTACTCTCGTTTCGCAAACGGATTTACGCTTGGATCTATATTTTGAAACCTACAGTTTTATCATTCACTGAACATATAGCTTTATAAACTTATTTTAATTAATTTCAATCACGACATATAGATTACTTAAAATAAATCTACCTATAAACGCCATTTAATTTCTTCGAAATGACTTGGAGGTTTTGTAGAAACTGCCGGATGAGGAATAATTGTTTTCATTTCTCTTATTTTTTCTGTTCGCCAGTTTTGGAGTCAGACTTAATATATCGTGTAATTTTATACGTTAATAATTTTACGGTTTCGATCATTAGCAAGCTCCACAAACCCTTTTGCACGCAGTCTTTGAAGTGAAGCAGTGGCCTCCTCTGATTTTTATTGTTTGATAGTTGTGGAATATTATTATTATTATTGTGGAATATTATTTATTTATTTATACACTTTATTGTACTAAAGTTACAAACGGCGGACTTCATGCCATATGGCATTTTCTTTCGATGCACCTTATTAAATCCATTATTTATATAAAAATAATTAACTAAGATCTGCATAAAAATAAAAATTATGTGTTTCACCTAGATTGAAAGAATTTTGACATTCAACAATAAGTTCAACAATTTAAACTTATTTTTGGTCATGAAATAATAAATGATAGAGTAAAGTCTGCAAAGAGAAAGAGAGGAGACGTATATTGAGCAGTTGAGTTTGATATGTTGTTAAGGTAATGAAGAATATGGCTGTCTCACGGAGTCTACAACATCTCACATTATTTCCCTCGATAAGCTCTTACGGGAAGTGCTCTGAGGAATTGTTCGGATTAATTCCAGGCGAACGCCCATCGCGGCAAATTTCCTGATTTCATCCACACCATCTGGATGCTTGGCGGTCCACCACTGTACGTTTCACTATGAGTTTTCTCCCGCGTACAAACTCTCTGTGGAATAGCTTGCCACCGGCGATTTTTCCGGACCGATAAGACTTAGGGACCTTCAAGAAAAGAACTTAGGTACTCCTTTCTAAAAGGCCGGCAACGCACCTGCGATTCCCTTGGTGTTGCAGTTGTTTATGGGCGGCAGTAGTCACGTACCGTCAGGTAAGCCGTATGCTAGTTTCCGCTCTCCTATAAAAAAATCTTATGACACCCACGGAACGTTCAATGTTAGGATCTCTAACGTC